GGAACAAAACACTCTGATTAGAGACCCGCTGTCCGCTTTTAAAGAACACGCATGCTGCGAATCTTTATTGTTCAACAACGCATGGGAGAAATCTCCCACCGGCACTACCTTGGAGGTCAAGATCCAGTGGTTACATATACGGGCTAGCCAGTGAACAGTTGTGCAGGGCGAGCAGTCTGTTTTTTTCTATGAAGAAGCTCGCTAGCAGATCGCCTGCGTCAGCATTGCGAGGAGAGAGAAGGGAACGCGTAGGAGAGGGGAGAGAGCAGGAGGGCACGTGCAGGCGCAATGGGGGTGTAAACAAAGAGTTTCTTAAAATTAAATAGAGGGGACTCTGCCGCTGTGATCATCCAGCGACCATGGGAATAATGCGTAGTACACTACAAGGATTTGGCTAGTCTTCGTACTTGCGGGTGACGAATCGCACTAGTGGCTTCGTTTATTTTGGCTTCGTTTCGAAGAAAAGAAGAAACCCTTCTGAACTTCGTGATCGGATTTGAAATGGTAAGCCTGAAGGAATAAGGCGGTGAAGTGCAACCACTGAACAATTCCTGATTCTTGCTCTGTGTGAAAACAGCTCCAAGCCACACGAACACACACGAAGAACGAAGATTAGACGAATTCGTGTACTACCCATCAGTCTCATGCTCGCTGAAGTGCTGTGCGTTGCAGCTCCCATAGACACTAGCACCCGAGTCCCCTCTAGTGTATATTTAGGAAACTCTATGGGTGTAAACGCCACTGTACACTCTAAGGCAAAAGGGTGTTAAAAGGGTGTATGGTTTGTCTTCTTGGGGTTGCCACAACCATTAATCTCTTTAAGGACTAACGGCACCAGGTATAACAGTTAGTCCCCTCAAATAAGCTCAAGAGACTAACATTTTGTCCCCACACTTACATCTTAGAGAGTAACCGTTAGTCCCACAATTCACCTCAAAGGACTAACATTTATTCTTCACCTTCGCACCTTACAGAGCAACTGTTAATCCCCACCTTTACACCTTACCGGGCAACCGCTATTCCCCACAGTTGCAGCTTGCCAGACGAACGGTTGATCTACTCAAATACTCCAATTGGATGAACTTTTTTCCCCAGTTCAAACATTGTTTTTGTTTATTTTCCGCCAGGCCTAATACTCTTTTCGCCTGTTTTCCTGCGCAGTGAGCAACACATTGCGCAGAAAGGAACACGCGAAAAAGTAGTTAGCCACCTATGTGTAACTGCTTTCGCAGTCACGGCAACAATGAACGACAAAAGTGAGACATCGAAATCTTTTATTTTTCTACATACAAATGAAGTTTCTCCATTCTTTTAAGTGAATTCATGTTGAAGTGTAAGAGTCCAGTCTCTTTGAGAAATCTTGCGCACTCCTTGGGGAGCTCCTCCGACGGAAGTGATAGATGACAGGCATTGCAGACGCCAGTGCACGCAGCCTTCTGTCTGTTATGTTCTCACGGCTGCACGTACAATAATATAGTAAAAATAGTTAGACACACGTGACAGAATATGAAGATGCACGCATATGACAAGTACGCGCACGTTATTATAAAAACAAGCGTTAAATATGACATAAAAATAACTTTACTTTCACATCTCGCACAGTCCTTCTGACGCTGCTCTGACGAAAGAGATGGATGAAGGGCATCGCAGACGCCAGCGCACAGTCTTCAGCACGGCGTGTGCCCACGGCTGCACAATAAGTATGTGAAATAGTGAGTCACACGTGACAGAGGATGAATACAAATGCATATGAGAAATACGTGCAAAATGAAATAAAGGCATACGTGAGATGTGACGTGCTAATAATTTCTCCGTAATGTCACACATCGTCAAAGACACATTTTGATCCCCGTAACGCAACAGCTTAGGAGCGGCGGCCGCTGCCACAACTCCGCAAACCTCCGTGCCGCTAACAAGTCGACGAGTCCTAAACTAGCGACGCCGTTCAGATCGAGCAAGCGAACGCGAGACCGAACACGGCGTTGCACGCGGAGTGTATGCCGCCAGCGTACATCGAACAGGAGAGCGAGCGTACGCTTGGCCGCCGCCATGAACAGCGCCAAGCTGGTTTGGAGCTAGCGCCAAAGAAATCGACGGTAATGCGGCCCTTTTCCACCAACTCGAGCGAGTGCAGCGTGCAAACGCGAGTTCGCCGCCGCGGCGAGCGGACGGCGCCGAGCTGCTTGCGATGAACTGTAATGACGACCAATTTTCAGTGAGTTCCGACGCAAGCGAAAACTCCGCCAGCCCGTGCTGGTGCACTTACAGCGCGCGACATACCACAACCAAGCTCTTTACGAGAAACCGCAACGTGTTTTCGATGACTCCCAACACAGCGACGAGGTCTCAGCCCAATATCGTCAGCCCGGAGCTCATCGCGGCAGCGAAGACAGGCGAAGGAAAGGAAGGAAGGAAGGAAAAACTTTATTTGCAAGGGTTTGGGACAGGGGTCATGAGCTTGATGGGTGGGTACCCAAGACCAGGGATCTACTGGCTGCCGCAGCCTGCCTGACGTGACGCAGAAGTGCAAGCTGCACCTCTGGGTCAGAGCTGGCGAGCTGTGCCTCCCACTGCTCGAAAGTATTACAAAGCTTGTACTGACCTAAAAAGGTGTCTAAACTAGGTAGTCGTTTTAGGCATCCCCACGAAATGTGGTAGAGCGATGGTGAGCCGCCACACCACGGACACGCATGCCCATACAGCATTGGAAAAATTTTGTGTAATCTTGAAGATTGGGGAAGACTCTTGTTTGAATTCGGTGGAGGTCAATCGCGTCCTTCCCTTCTAATGATTTGTGGGGTGGCGCTGTATTTTTGTCGCATGCCTCGCTGGTTAGCAAGAATTTCGCGAGGGGCAATTCTGGATGGGTCTTCATCCTCCTCGATAGCTTCCTTCTGGAGTGTTTCAATGGATCGAATGTGCTGTCGAAGCTCTGCTCGGTTCGTGAGCCCTCGAGCACAAGCATCGGCACTTTCGTCCCCCTCCAGGCCTGCGTGTCCTGGACACCAGATCAGCCTGTATTTGTTCGTCAGTCTCGCGCCTAAGAATTTGCTTATTTTTATAGAAAGGCGGCCTCTTAAAAAGAAACGGCACGCTTCCTGTGAGTTGGAAGTGATAGTTGTCTGTGGTTCATCTCTCTGTTCCTGCGCTTTGATTGCAAGGGCAATGGCAAAGAATTCCACCTTGGCGACCGAAAACGTGTACAGCGATGCACATGTCACCATGCAGTTGTCGTTTCTAAGTACTGATGCAAATGACCGTTTAAAATTGTACGTCGAAGCGTCCACATGAAAAACGTTTGATTTTTTTTAATGTTTTTAGGAGCCATCGCACTCTCTCCTCTCCGCGCTTTCTGTCTGTTTTTACGTCCATGTTCTTGGGCAGCGGTGAGATCGAGATCTTGCTACGGACGGGATCCGGGATTTCTACAAGATCCTCGTCCAGGTTCTGGGGGTATGGAAATAGTATTTGCACAAGCGCTACTAAAGCAACTGAATGTAAAAATTAGACATATTGGTCCAATACACAACCTAAAGTCAATGCTTAGCATACAATTCGATGATATATTTCCTCATAACGCGAAACAATTGGCATATAGGTATTTAAATGACCAGTTAGCAGATTATCTAGCCCACCTAGAGATAAGCAATATCATAGCGACTGACGCATCTGTGTCAAAAGAAAAGGCTGGGGTTGGCATCTTCTCCCTTTCTTTGGACTGGTCTTTTTCGATTCGACTCCCAGATTATACCCCGGTATTCATGGCAGAATTATTGGCCATTGTTCTTGCCCTACGCAAATTACCCTCAAGCGAATCATTAGCAGTTATCATTACAGATTCGTTATCAGTTTGTAATGCACTTTCTACGGCAGTAAATTCAGAGCTGATGAATACGTTTCGGCATTTAGTACCGAAAAACGTAAAAAAACTGCATTTGCTATGGGTACCAGGTCACCGCGGATTATATTTGAACGAAATGGCGGACTCTTTAGCAGCAGTATCCCTGGGTGGGCCCGCCATCCCAGTTTTGCCAGATACGGCTTACGTAACCGCGCTAAGGTTCCGAAATGCTTGCCTGCAATGGGGAAAAGGTAATTTGGATAAATATAAAGATTTCGAGCATTTGAGCTATTGCTGGAATAAACAGTGGTGTGTATCTCGCCAGTTAGAGGTCACTTATACCAGATTGCGCTGTGCAGTTCCACAACTAAATTATTACCTTAATAAAGCTCAGCTCAAGGCGTCACCGCTATGCATTTAATGCAACGAAATTGAAACAATTGAACTTTTCTTTTTATTCTGTCATCGTTATTCTTATCAGAGAAAAAGATTTTTAGTAAACCCATTACAAAAGCTCGGAATACAAGTAAATTTACCAGTAATTTTATCACTTGGCGGAACTTTATTTGGTTACTGCCACAGGAATGTATGCTCCGCTGTGTTTGATTACATCAACGCAACTAAAAGATTACCATGCTAGTGAATCACTACCTTTTCAGATCTTTAGTTTATGATTCGTAGTTATGTCTTTAAAAAACAAAAGATGGGTTGACCACTTGCTCAGCACACATTTTTGTTTTTTGGTAGTATTATTTTAAGCTACTTTTTCAGATTGGCTTCATTTTCAGTTTAGTTTCAATTAAGTATCCTGCCGCCCGGTTCTTGGCCCATCCCCCTTTGTGGGTACGCGCCATCCATCAAAGGTCATCAGCATCAGCATCAGCTCTAGTAAGTGGGTTACAAAAACACAGTTTTCACCTAATGGCACAATCTCGCAAATGTGCATGGTTGGTAGCTGTTCCGAAAAAGTTTATTAACAACTTGACTGAATATCAGCTTCTGGGACAACGAATTTGTCGCGATAAGAGGAGTTGACTTTATGCGTACACATTTGTGTACATTGTGCCGCTACCAATACAACACTACATTTCTTGCCATTTCGCTAGTGGTGCTGCAGAAGTGCTCAAAACGGCTATTATTTTGCTTTTTTTATACTTAGAGCTGGCGGACCATGCGAAGAATCACACGAGAATAAAAAACAAAGCATCTGAAAATCTGCTAATGAGAATAGCGGATGGGAATACGTCAGACATCAGTTTGTCAGACGACGAGGAAGGCGACCAGCAGCCGACTCAAACTGTAAGCAGTTATTCCATTTTCTTCGTGCTCGCAAACCAATTTTCGTGATATTGAAGAATATACTTAAAACGCAGGACAACCAACCAGATGTCGCGGCCGGGCCTTCATCACCGGTGGATGAAAACGACAACAACGATGGAGAGTCCACTAAGAAAACTAGAGTTTCGTGGACCGCGAAGGACTTCGTGCGGCCAGACACCACATTCCAGTGTGAGTACGATGACCCTGTTGCAGTCGCCGAACCCATTGAGTACTTTCTGAAGTACATTTCTGAGGAAGTGTTTGAAGAAATGGCAAGATGCACAAACATTTATGTCATGCAAACGACAGGAACGATCCTCGCGACTACTCCAGATGAGATAAAAAGGTTGCTTGGTGTTCTTATTATAATGGGAACCCTGAAATTTCCGCGCATGCGCATGTATCGGCAACCAGCGACACAGATTCCTACGATTTGTGAAGCGATGAGCGTGAATAGATTTTTCAAGCTCAGGTCCGCCCTACACGTCACTGAGTCAACAACACCGCACTCACCAGCTGACAAATTTTGGAAAGTGCGACCACTCCTAAACGCTGTCAAAGAACGTGTTTTACAGTTGCCACCTTCGGAGCACAACAGCATTGATGAGCAAATCATCCCGTTTACAGGCAGGGCAGCGGCGAAACAGTTCATCAGGAACAAACCCAACCCAGAGGAAGTAAAGGTGTTCCTTCGTTGTAGTGCAGACGGCATGGCCCATGACTTCGAACTGTACCAAGGAAAAGGAACTGGTGTGTCCGAGGAGCACAAGAGCCTTGGCTTGGGTGGCTCAATCGTCATGAGGCTTATTAAAGACTTGCCCTTGTATCGAAATTTCAAATGTTATTTCGATAACTACTTTACATCCGTAGGTCTTCTGCAAGAACTGAAGTCCATAGGGATCTGGGCAGTCGGAACAATCCGCGCCAATCGATTGCAAGGCTGCGTCTTGAAGACTGACAAGGAGCTGAGACGCGAAGGCAGAGGAAGCTACGACCAGAAAGTCACAAAAGACGGGGACGTCATTCTGGTACGGTGGCAAGACAACGGAGTCGTAAACGTCGCTTCAAGCTACGTGGGCGTGGATGACCTGTCCACTGCAAGGAGGTGGAGCGAGGCCACAAAACAGCACATCGACATCCCATGCCCTGCTCTCATGAAGGACTACAACACCTTTGTGGGAGGCGTGGACAAAATGGATTTTCTCCTCTCGCTGTACCCTCTCCGCCAAAGAACCATGAAATGGCCAGTGCGGGTCATAGGCTACTTTGTCTCTTTTGCCATAGTGAACAGCTGGCTCGAATACGTGAAACATGCGGAAATGAACCGAATGCAGCGTAAGAACACTCTGGATTTGCTGGCATTCCAGAATGAAGTTGCCATGGCACTCATCATGTCTAGCAAGAACGTAGCGAAGAAACGGGGCCGCCCAAGCCTCCAGGAGCCGTCTGAACCTCCTCCCCGCAAAGTACACAACGCGGAGCCAAGGCCAGTCAACGCTGTTCGCTATGATGGCCTAAACCACTGGCCAGCCCACTCCTCACAACCGTTTGCTCAGCGTTGCAAGTTTGAAGGCTGCAAATCTAGAACGCGCATCCGCTGCCAAAAGTGCAATGTGTTCCTTTGTCTTTCTGCCACTAAGAATTGTTTTTACGCTTTTCATAACAAATGAGTGATCGAAAGCACGGTTTGCATGAAAAGCACAGTATGTAAAATGCCAGAATAACGTTGGTTTGTGTGTAAATAAACCTTTTTCTATTTTGCAATTACCAGCAAATGTGGTGTGTTTGTACTGGGTGGGGCACCATGTACACAAATGTGCACGCGACCTAAAACTAAGCCAGAGGTATTTAGAATTTTTTTGATGTGTTTAATTTATTCACTAGGGTCATAGGGGACAAAAAAAAAGAAAAAAATTTTTTATCCATAACATTTATTCATGTCTGAAGGGGTTATTATCGTGCACAAGTTAGCCCTACCTACGTTAGTATATTAAAGGTGTTCATTGCACTGTGGGTTACAATATGTACCACTTACCGCTGCTGGCGGGCATCTTGGGGAGGGGAAACTATCGTGTTTTCAGCATCAACAGCAAGATGACGCAATAAGCGTGCGGCGGCTCTCACTTCTCACGCGTACTTTGGTCCGCATAGAGGAGAAAAGTAGATGATCTCTCACGCACCCTTATCTCCCGGTGGGGAGGGTCATACGTTTTGGCGGGCGTTGGGCATGCACTGGAACGATTCTGTCATAGCTACCAGGCGCAAAAATATCAATGTAATCGTTGCGTAGCCTTCGTTTGCGAAAAGGGCGCACTTTTCAGACACAGCGAAGTACCAACTGAGATGCTTATTCGCGTTCATCTGTACCTGTGAGTACATTTCGTGCGTTATTTGTGCTTGAGAAACGCGGGCAACGTTTTGATCTGCTTGCCATTTGGCGCGTGACCTTCCAATGTGTTGCTATCGCGTTTATTGCTTCGCCTTTGCGGCAAAGCTGTGACTTTTTTCCTGTTGCATGTCCTAGCACTATCGTTTTGCCGAAAAATTCAATAAAGTGTGCAAAGCATACACTGAAGATACAGCAGAGCTGTTGCTTTACGAATAAGCCTTTGCTTCGCAGTTATTTTAACTGCTTGGGTGTCCTGTTATTTCTATGAATATGGAATGAAGTGGTTGGAGAAAGTGGGAGGAGCGGCAGGAGTTGTAGTGGGTTTAGTGTTGAGGGGTGGGAGTAATTATTATGTCGCCCACCCGTTTCTTATGACGACCTCCGGACATGGAAGCCTTGGCTAGGAACAGCTTCCGTGTTTAATGGTGGCTTATGAATAACGCAGAACCTACAGTGTACCACAACAACTTTTTTTTCGCTTTTGCGACTTGTAGAAAAGGAGCGCTGCATCCGGAGTTTTTTTTTAATCATCCGCCGAGCAAAAACGTCAACTTTTGTACTTCCGAGCACGTTAACAAAGGTGGTGCTTTTCATTTTCTTGAGAATGTCAGCTAGAAAATGACCCTCACAAGGAACATTCAACCAACACAAGCAAAGTAGACAGATTGTCATCAAGTGTTTACATTAAAAAATGGTTTTGATGCCGTCAGGTGGTGGGTTTTTCGTGCAGATGCACGGCATTCACTTCGAAAATGATATTGAACATGCTCTAGGCTATTTCGCGGCCTGTCTGGAAATGCAAGCGGTCGTCGAGAAAACCTTATGCGCCTTCCCCCGTTGATTGGTTGTAGACGATGCGTGTGTGTTCCTACGCCTTGAAGTTTTCTGTCAGTACCACTTCAAGTAGTGACATGCTGCTGATAGTACGGAAATAATACTGCTATATTGGCCTACTACCAATACTACATCTTACCACTTAGCAACCTAATCAAGCATTTTTTTCTGGTCCTAACGGCTATCATTCTTTTTTTGTGGGAACTAGTTCAAATTCTTGAACATTATTGTTATTGCAGGTGTGGACTTTCACCTCTTCTCGGCAAGGACCTTAAACATGCCTGCCCGCCATTTGTAAGCACGAATGATCCTTATTCCTAAGTATTCGTTATATGCTTTCCAATGTCCAATGCACTAGCTGTGAGTGAAATATTGTTCCTTGAGCTTTTCCTGGCACTTAATTGCATGGCTCTAAACGATCACGTCTTTCCGAAAGGCTGTGTTTTTAGAACCGGCCAGGCCCATCGAGCTCTACTCACGTTTGACCAAACGGCTCAAAGCAACCATTTATAGACGTTTCTTTTATTGCGACATCAATTATATGGACACACTCAGCTGGATCTTGCTGCCGGCGTCAGCGAGGGCTGCCATTAGTTGTCTATGTATACGTATCTATTTATGGAAACGCGCGAACGAAAAATAATACATGAAAAGACTCCGGTGCACGGAATCGAACGTCGGACCTTTTGCTTGTGAGTGTGTCGCACTAGCCACTGAGCCACAAAAAAGCACCTCCTTGAACGTTGAAATGGCATGCTATTTATATCTACCACTTACCGCTGGCGATGTCAATCTCGGAAAAACTATCGTGTTTTCAGCATTACCAGCGTGCTGGTGCGATGGGCGTACATCGCCGAATCGTCACAACGCTGCGACCCACGCTCATGCGTTCGAAATCCCGCGTACTTTGTTCCGCAAAGGGGGGGGGGGGCGACTCTCACGCGTGCGTGCGCGTATTTCACGGTGGGGAAAATCGTACGCCTTAGGTTTTCACTGGAAGAATTCTGTTGTATTTATCGGGCGCACAAATGTCACTGTACTCGCTGAACAGTCTCCATTTGCGAAAAGGGCACGCTTTTTAGACACGGCAAATTAACATGAAACATGTTTATTCGCGTTGATCCGTATCTGTGAATGCGTTGCGTGTGTCATTTGTGTGCGAACAATGTGGGACACGCTCGATCTGCTTGCCATTCTTCGTGTGACATTCCAATTTGTTGCTATCGCATTCATTGCTTCGTCTATGTGGTAAAGATGTGACTTTTTTATTTCTAGTTTACTTATACTTCTCTTAGCCTTCGTTACTTTTATATGCGCAGAATTCCTTGCTCACGGGTATGTCACGTGTACGGTGTCCGCACTCACACAACACATGCATGAGTCTCCTCCTTTCCTGTCTCCACAGCTGCGTGTCACTCTCTCCACGTCTGTGCTGCCACCTGCTTGCACTCGCTTCCCCATTGCGCATGCACGCCTCATCTCCCCTCCTCCACTCCCCTTTTCATGCCTCACAATGCCGACTCAGGAAGCGTCTGCTAACCTACACTGGCTCCCCCACCCCCTCCAAAAAGACAAACAAAAAACGTTATTGTTTGAGACAATAGGTTGGTGCACACCGGCGACTAGCAGTGGTCGCGCGACCATCTGCGGCTGGCAACCAAAACATGACTGACGTTCACACCGGCAGATGCTGCATGCGAGTGACGGGAAGTCGCAAAACCAGAGTCACGTACAGATCTCGTAATCAGCGAGAACTCTGGAGACCGGCACCGATCAGCTAATCGCCGCGAGGTGAGTGAGCGGAGCGAACAGAGCGCACCGCATTTATTGTTTTCCTCCGTTCTCACACAGAATTCCCATCAGCGTCAAGGAATTCGATTCAAGCGAACAAGAGATCCTCATGGCGCTGATGCGCTATGCCATGGTGTCAGCGCTGGCAGCACAGAAGCCTCCAAAGAAAAAAAGCCGGTGGTGGGTGTGACCATCCGTTCGCTCGCGAGAGTTGGCTGACCATGCAAAGCGCCTACCTTCTGAGTTGCGCTAAAACGACGAGGAGTATTTCCGGGAGTGGTACCAATTCATAAACACTCCTTGGATTTACCTTGACTTGCCGCAGCCTCCATAGAGTTTCATACAATAATACCTAGAGTAGAATCTGGCGCTAGCGTCTACGAGGGCTCCTTCAGCGGTGCTTGTAGCTGCATGGGAATGATGGAAAGTACAGGCTTCAGATCTGCTTCGAACGGATCACGCTCTTGGATTCGTGACGCTTCTTCTCTGAGTGTAAAACAAAGTAATATGAAGTTATACTAAATTGAAAGTTGCTTTATTTTTTTGTACGCAAACTTTATTGCAAAAGGTTTTTGAGACTGGGTGGTAGAAGTGAAACCTGGACAAATTTAACCACCAGGAATGCATTGTTCTGCCTTTAAGTTCCAGATTTGGCACCAAGATATATTGTATTATTTTTTACAACATTTCGAAATTAATATTCTTGTTTTGGCCTAGAAAGTACACAACATGTATTTATAGAAATAACCGCACAGTATTAAGTAAGAAACACTGAACGTTTCGTCTGCTGCGATGCCAGGTGCGTCTGTTCAAGTGGTCTGCCACCAACGCACCTCCCGTTTTGTTGCGAAGTCAAGTCAGAAGAGCGTGGTGGTGCGTCTACTTCGCGTCGCCGTTGTCTTGCAGTTGATTTCAACGAGTTTTGGTGAGACGCACTAACAACATAAGTGAAATCTATGTAATATCCTGCACTGCCTAGGGACACTACATCTATGGGCAGTGGTGAGTGGTCTACGCTTCGCTTAAACTGTCCAACACGACTTGTACTGCTCCAGCGTTGCATAGGGGCCTAGAATTTTCCAGCTTCTTTGAACAACAAAGGCGCAGGTTCACTCCTTTGCACCCACCCCACTACCCACTCTACGTGAAGAACGAAACTGAAACTGCAGAAAAAATTCGCAGACAGTTCACTGGATAACATGGTTCAATCCCAAGCCTGTACTTCCCATCATTCCCATGGGGGTGTACGATCGCAGCTCCAGATTCCTTCTAGGTATTATTGTATAAAACTCTTTGACAGCCTCCAATGCAGCACAAACGCGTCTCGAACGCGGTGTCTTGAAAAAAAAACAAAACGAAAAATGAGCCTGCCTATAAAGAAACGCTAGTGTCACTTCTGGGTGTCGCTGATCGGTTCTAGCAGTTTTGTGACTGCAGGCGCTTGACTGAAAATTGAGCAAGAAACGATTAGCCAAAGCAGTCGCTTTGCGACGGATCGCAGGGAGATGGTGTGTTCGTTTCTTTACTTCCTCTGGTTTTCCTTTTGTTCCCTCATATCTTCCTTTTTTTCATCTCTTCCATTGCGACTGTTTGCGACCAGTCGCAAATGGTCGCGCGACCACTGCTAGTCACTGGTGTGAACCAAACAAAGAACTTTATTGTCCCCCCTCAACCTTTAGGCATCCCTTTCCGCGGCGTATCGCAAAGCCGACGCAGGTAGCGTCTCCTAGCGAGTTTTTTGATTGAAAAAATCGACTGCTTGACGGCACGTATCAGCCAATGGTCACCGTCAGAGGAGCGGGTGTGTTTTTATCTTTACTTCCTTCTGTTTCCTATTTTTCCCTTCATATGTTTGTTTCCTTTTTCTCTTTTATCCCATAGAAAAAGGTTTTGTGTTCTCCTAGGTGGTTGTTGCGAGCTTGCTCTCTCCCTCTTTCCTCCTGTGTCCGTGTGTATCCGTGCATGCGAATCAAATACAAATAAATAAAAGTTTTCATTTATGCAAGACTATTTCTGCCCTTATGCCACCCACTCGCAAGATTTTTTGCGTTTTCCTGTTTTTCATATTTGCCCAAGCATTCGTCGTTTTTTATTTACTTTATCATTTGCTACGTTCTTTATTTAATGGATGCCCTTGTATTCTACACTCAATCTGGAACATTATACAAGTGGCAAAGCCTGAATAAAGCAGAGTATGTTCCACCTTTCAGAATCAGAATCAGGAAGAGCTCTATCTCGTTACACAGGCTAGTCAAAGAACTGCTTCGCACCTCTTTGACTAGCCTGTGTAACGCTGTGCTTACGTACACCCCAATGTGCATGCTCGCGTCTTGTGCCACATGCTCACGTCTCGTGCCGAAACGCGATCTCACGTGCCAGCCCAGGAAAACACCCGCAAAACTGTCGCTCCCCTCCCCCTCTTCCGTTTAGATAGGCTGAAGCAGCAGCGTTGGCTACCATATATTGAGCAAGATGGAAAACTGGGCTAGTTGGTGAGCATTCATCGTGGTTAACAGCGCGAAACACCCGGACAGGAGCGATAGAAGGACACGGTACAGCGCTGACTTTCAACTGAAATTTTTATTGAAAACACGAGAATATATATATAGACAGAACAGAAGACCTCGTGACCAAACCAGCCCCCTCAATCGATAAAATTATACACGGCGACAAGGCTTTGTCATGTGCACGCAATCTTGCCACAAAATAACACATACTTCAAACTATAAGATTCCAATGTCGCCAAGAAAACCGGGCATGAGCAGACGAATGAACTTTAGCCACTATCTAACAAAGATAATTCATTACCAAGTAAGGCGATAGACGGCTGGCTAACGCATTGAGACCCTTTCTTATTTATAAAAAATGCCTCCATAATTTCTCTTGAAAGCTTGTCTGGGTGCTTGAAGAGTACTTTTGTTTTTTCAAAAAGTGGGTGGCATCCACATTCGCGGCAATGCAAAGACAAATGTGAATGCGCAAATCCTTTCAAGGAACTGTGGTGTTCCCTTAGCCGTATATTGACACAACGCCCGGTCTGACCAAGGTTTACTATTGAGGTTCCTGAAAAGGAGGAGTTGCAGTTCTTAGACCTTAGACTGTCTTTCAAAGCGGAACATGTGTGTTGGACCTATCAACCGAGGTCAAAGAAGTCTCTTCTTGATTTCAGATCAGGGCACTCGAAATTGATTAAACGAGGTATAGCCACTTCCGCTATAAGGTCCGCCCTCAATAAGAGTTGTCCCCATCGTATGCTTGACAGCGTTAACTATCAGGTGGAGAGGCTGCGTGATGCAGGCTTTCCTCACTCTATCATTTCTACGACTTGCGATAAGCTGCTGCGTGAGGTCAAGGGGCAGTCCTCCCGAGTGAAAGAAAAAGATTTTAGCCGTTCTGTCTACATTCCATATGTTCATTCTTTTTCGCACAGATTAAAGAAAGTAGCATCTAAGTTCAGATTAAACGTTGGGTTTTCAAGCAGAACGAAGCTTAAGGGACTTTGCCAGGCAGTAAACACTCGCATAGAAGGC